CTAGATTTCAGTTGCCTCAAAACAGGAACGCGTCAACAATGCGCCTGAACACACCTCGTTTTCAGACCAGCACGACCATGGGCGCACAGATGAGGCGCAAATGCATTTGCTATTTAAACAACGAGCAACAAAAGAATGAGATTTTTACAGCCATTTTTTTACATTTCAATGTCACTTTATCACTTACTAATTGATTTAGGATCTTATCAGAAGTTCTTTCTCCATATGAAGAGACTGTACAGTTCCTGTCCATTCAGCAGTGGGCGATTAAATAAGTCGAATAAGGAGGCTGTTTGCAGGTTTGTGGGAAGGGGCAGAAAGCGAGTGCCATCTGTCTGTGCAGGCCTGGGGAGTGTTCTTAGAGAATCAACCTGGCAGCCGCCCAGAACCACACAAAACATGCCAAAATCAGCACTTCAGCAGAAAACCAATGCGGGCCCTGGCTGCATTAATTGTCTGAATGAGCATAAACGCATTCAGAGGGAGCAAATATTTATATGACATGGAATTAAGGGAATTGTGTTGAGAGGGAATGATTTATGGATGGTCTTTCGCGTGTAGCCAGTTGAATGAATGGAGCAAATGATTTTCATTTAGGTTCACGGGTAGTGTGAAAGAGAAAACCATCACTGACAGCAGCAAATCAGGTTTCCTCTGTGTACGAACGCATTATCAAACGGTGCTCTTGCTCTTGCTCTTGTTCCAGCCAGTTGTATTTGATCTTTTTCAGCATTTATTAATCTAGGTTAATGTTGATTTCTACATGATGTAATACATTTTCAAGTTGTATGTTATTTAAAATTGAAATCTTTTGTTACATTAAACCATTTATAGATACATAAAAGCTGTAAAAATTGTTGTTCATTGTTAGTTCATGATATATTTTAATGCATTACCAAATTTAATTTACAGGTGCACATTTCTTTCGGAGACACGACACTGGAGACATTGACACTGGAGTTCATTGCTGAGAAACATGTCAAACGCCATTCGTAATGATTGACAAAGAGCAACGTGTTCTTTCACAATGAAACAACACAACATGACAGATCTAGCTTTAACAAATCCTAAAGAAAATGATTGATCAATGGCTGCCAGCAAGTGAGACTGAGAATGAAATAAATAAATCACACGAAGTACAGCTGTTAGGATGGCTGTGAGATTTCATCACGCTTCCCGCCGGTGAATTCATCTTATGAATCATCGACTCATTTCTGGCAAAAACGCTAGCAGACTCATAAATATTACCCCATTGTGCAATCTACTTTTTTAGCCTGCAGATGAAGTGCTTTTTCCATGTAACAAAGCCAAAGAGGCTCCATCATATCGAGGCAGTAGTATCTGTGGTAAATTGCAAAACCATTCTCAAACATATATTACATGATATATTAATCTGTATGAACCAGTGATGAAAAAAATACCACTTCACACAGTAATGAATACACATGAACAGCATTCACAATACATTTTACTTCTGTTACGTGACATTCCTTAGTGAAATAGTGAGAATGAATGGCATGTTTTTTTGTTTTTTTTATTGTCCATCTTCCAAATTCTTAATTTGTGGCCAGGGTTTTAACTAAAGTGAGGCATCTTTAATTCATGGCCACGATCTACTAAAACGAGGGAATTCATTTGTAATTCGTCTTAATTCAGGGCTCTGTTTTGAACTGTGATGCTTATATTTTTACATTTCGTTTACAGACACTCTTATCCAAATCAATTTAAAACAAGAATAATACAACAATAAGTTCTGTAATGACAACTCTGGGAGTGTTTGGCATGGTGATAGATATGACAATGTTGATATGTTTGGTTGCTGCTGCTGCTCTACAATAGCATGCATAGCAGATCTATACAGCTGGAGCTGGGGAAGGTGGAGGGTTTCTGAAAGTGCTCAAACTGCTACTCAGGTGCTAACCAAGTATCTCACCAGCTGTTTCTATATGCGATAATATTAAGACATTTGTCTATTATGCATTTTTTTAAATTTGCAATCCAGAAGAGAGATCTCTCTCACGGATCTACAGCGCGCACAACACGAAATCCCCTGCTTTAGTGAGTGACGATGAAGGAGAGAAATAAACAAAAGTTTAGTCTGGTTGTACTTTAGAGCAGTGAGATTAATCGAATTTTATTTTGATTTTGTCTTCCAATTATTGCAAAAAATTAGTTTGAGGTAAAATTATTTAAAAGTAGCCGCATTCCATCGAGCGCACCTTCCTTTGATTTCCTTCACAGTGGTGTGCCTTCATTCCTCCCTAAAAGCCAAAACTTAACGTCGGAATCAGCAAAATTGTATGGCGTTATATGTGTGCCTCAATCCTGAGCGAGTAATTGTAAGTTTTGAGCACAGAGAACTATATTTTGCAAGCACAGTGCATTATATTTTAAACAGAAATTAACAATCGCAAAAAAAAAAAAATCGTTTGAGCAAAGAAAAAACGATTCCGTGCTCAATAAATGTATTTGCTATTATCCATATTAACGTGCACTGTGCTTGCAAAATATAGTTCTCTTTGCTCAAAACTTACAATTACTCGCTCACAGGGCTCCAGACTAACTTTTCCACTGGTTGCACTGGTGCTACCAACTTTCTCAGTTGGTCGCACCAGCATATGATTTGGTCGCACTTATTTATTTATTTTTGCTACATGCCATGGGATTAATCAATGCATGCTGATGAATAGTGGTTTTAATGGACCAAGGCTAGCAAAGGCTTTCTGGGTTGCAGCAGAAATACCTGTAATATATTAATTATCATTGCCAAATTTCAGGATTTTCATGGATTTTGGACAGTAATTTTAATCTGTAATTTTAAGCATTTTACATTTGAATTATATACAATCTATCTATTTACATTTGAATCATATTCTATCTATCTATCTATCTATCTATCTATCTATCTATCTATCTATCTATCTATCTATCTATCTGTCTATTATCATCTTTCTATCTTTTAAAAATCATTAAACATTAAAATGTATGCATTACATTTTAAAAGATTAGAGTATTATAATAAACTGATACAGATTTTTCGTTATCAAAGTTTATAGTTGTAACAAAAAGCAGAAATCTCACACTCCTTACCTTCTGCATTTTATAATAATTTCCTTTTCCTCTGTCGAGCAATCATAAGAGTAATCGCTCGACAGAGGAAAATATAACCGCTGAAAAGACGTAGGAGGAAGGGGCTCTGTGTTTCGTGAGACCATTTTTATAATTTTTATATGCCTTAATTCGTGAATTCGTAATTGGCGCGTTTCACCATCAGTGTGCAATGCGCGCGACGTCTACGTTCGTCAATAAATAAACTGCACGTGTCTTGCGGAAGAACATTGTAGACGGAACTTCTCTCCGTTAATGTCTATGGCGAGTCACGCAGGCACTGGGCTACTCCGCAGCCGAGACGACCCCGGGATAAAATAGTCCGAATATAAACACTTATTATAGGCGTACCGTAGTGATTCAGAATAAGTCAAAAACACGGTTTGGAAAATGGATTCATGATGTAGCCTACTCGTTCATTTTGAACATAAGTTACGGACTGCAGCTGCTGATACAACGGCGTTCTGTTGCTCAAGCGTCCACTCGCACAAATGCGACCACTTAACATTTTAACTCGCACATTCTCAAAAAATGGTCGCATATGCGACCAATTTGGTCGCAGTCTGGAACCCTGGCTCAGGATTGAGGCACACATATAACGCCATAAAATTGGTGCTTTTTGTAAAATTAAGTCTAATGTTGCCAAACTGCGGGACTATTTTGATAAATAAAGGCTTATTAAAAGCACAATAATCAGCGGAAGAGACGCTTTCCCAAGGAGGCTTTCTGTGTGTGCGATCCAAACCGGGCCGCAATTTACAAGCAAATTATACGTTGGGCTTCGGGTCCACAATGATCAAATACACATAAAAATGTGTCAACATGACCGGTTTTGGTGTATTCACTTAAACACAGTCATTTCTGTCTTAAGGGGAGGTAAACAGTAGAGAGAAAAATGACGTGTGTTTTTGATGTCTTAAAGTTAAAGCAGTTTAATACATAGTCTAATAAACCTTGGCTGCCGCTTGGCCATTAATGTTAATCAAACAACAAAAGAGAGAGAAAATCACTCACTGCTCTTGAATGAATAACTTTAGGCACTAAAGCTAAAACGAAGCACACTGCTTATTTTTATTAGTATATTTGTTATACTGCGTTTATTTGTCCATTTGACTGTACTTTGTTTCTTTGTTCTTGTTCTTATAGTATGTTATCTGCATTTAAACACAAGAAATGCCTGCAGACTGGTGCATTTACCAATTGATGTTTTATATTCATTTGTTTTGTTCAAACATTGCTGTTTCTTTTGCTATAGATATTTATTATAACACTTTACAATAAGGTTTGATTAGTTATTATTTAAATGAACTAAGAATGAACTGCACTTCTACTACATCATTTATTAATCTTAGTTAATGTTAATTTCAACATCTAGCCTACTCATACATCATTAAAATCAAAATCGTTGTATTTGTTAACATTAGTTAATGCACTGGGAACTAACATTTGTATTAACTAACATTAACAAAGATTAATAAATACGGTAACAAATGTATTGCTCATTGGTTCATGTTAGTTAATACATTAACTAATGTTAACAAATGAGACCTTATTGTAAAGTGTTACCATATTTATTTTACACTTCAGTTCATAAAACAATGTTAATTCTTTAAAAAATATATAACAAAAAGAACCGATAGTACCGGTATAGTTCCGGTTCGATAAGCAGTATCGGTATGAGTAGTAATACCGTTGATAAAACCTTAACAATACCCATCCCTACTACTAATACAGCAGGAACCAATCATCTGTGCCCTATGGAGAATGATGTGATTACAAGCAGCCATCTAGAGTTTCATGACAGAACTTTGTATTAATTAACCCAAGAGCAAAAATTAACATAGTACTACTCTACCAAAGTATGTGCCATTAAGTGCTACGTGTACAGTTACCTTCTCGTGGATCTCCTGTGTGGACTGGGCATCACAGAAGGCCACGGTGGCCACGTCCTTCAGGATGGGCATCTCCACAGTACAGTCCCGCCCATCCAGCAGTGCCACCAGAGGACGAGGGTGCATGGGCCCATTCATTATGGGAGGCCTGATGCCTGTAGAGAGTAATAAATCACATATGTTACATGTCCTGAGCTTGTGTTCAGGTGTGTTCACTTGGTCTGCATAAGCAAAGTGAATTAACTGTTCTAATATCAATGATTCGGCTCAAAGATAAACACAAATATTGAATGCCAAGTTTCAGATTCTAAAAATAAAGTGACTCACAAACACAGAAAACACTATGTATTAGCAGTTGATTCCTGTTTTTATTGCTCAATATTAAAAATGTTTTTCATGTTTTACAACTGCTGTTGTACAGTAACACGGAGAGCTGTTGTGGGTTTTATATCCACTCGTAAAAGACACATCAAAAGGACTAATGCTGCTATTTTACTGTGAACAAGACCCATTTAAATGTCCATTGCTTATTATCAACACTGATGATGTCAGTACCATTCAGTTAAATATATTTATCGGTAACACTTTACAATCAGGTTAATTAGTTAACATTAGTTCATGTATTAACTAACATGAACTAACCATGAGCAATACATTTGTTACAGTATTTGTTCATTTTTGTTAATGTTAGTTAATAATAATCCAGCTGTTCATTGTTTGTTCATGTTAGTTCACAGTGCATTAACTAATGTTAACTAATACAACCTTTAATTTTAATAACGCATTAGTAAATGTTGAAATTAATAATAACTAAGATTATAAATGCTGAAGAAGTATTGTTCATTCTTAGTTCATGTTAACTAAGGTAGTTAAAGGTGCTCCAAGCGATGTCACGCGTTTTTTAGGCCAAAACATTTTTTGTCACATACAGCAAACATCTCCTCACTATCCGCTGGCTGCCTGTCCCCTGAACACACTGTAAAGAAACGCGATCTCTGTAGACAGCCCAGGCTCCACAAACAGCAACAAAAACAAACTGCGGCGACCCGCTCCCCAAAACACGACAAACTGTTCCAGCCAATGACCGACAAGAAGGGTTTGGGGGGTTAGTGTGCGGATGAGGAGGAGGGAGGCTCTAGCTAGCCTCCGTTTTGTTTGTCAATAGTTCGAACGTCAACAAGAAGTGACGTCATCCAGGATCGCTTAGAGAACCTTTAACTAATGTTAACTAATGAACCTTATTGTAAAGTGTTACCCATTTATCTTTCCGTTCCACTGCGCGGATGACCAGTTGCACTGAAGAAGAACAACTGTCCATAAAAATGGCTATATAACAGAATTAACTATAGGCGGTGATACATATATACTCAACCAGACACTTGATATCAAACACTTAATAAGATAACTGACTGACTGATGACATCATGATGAAATACACAAGTGCTCGTGTGAAATCAGCTTTAAAGGAAAACAATGAATCAATGATCTTCATGTAACTGCAGCTGATGTAACAGATGGTGATGAGTAATAAAGACTTGAACACCTGCGTGTCTGATCTTCTGTCTTATCCCAGTACCTCAAACTGTTCTGTTTTTAAAGGGATACTCCACCAGTTTTTCTTATTAAACTATGTTATTCCCTTAACTAAGACGAGTTGATACATACCTCTCTCGTCTCAGTGCGTGCACTATATCGCTCTGTATTGCCGCAAAACTATGTTAGCACTTAGCTTAGCCCATGCATTAAATATGGGCCAAGCAGAGAAGCGACCAAACACTTCCACGTTTTCCCTATGTAAACACAGTTACTCGAGTAGTGTAACTTGACCTGGGCTGGTGACACAAAATAAACCGTTGCGCTTTTCTAAGCGTTTAAAATTGATGACTATATTGTATGGCGGAATACCATAACAATTGCTTTTGAGCACTTCGACTTGGCGCAATAATATCTTCACTCGTGAAAAGTCCTCTTACCGGTTCCCGCTTCCTCTCCCCCTCCCTCTGACATTTCCGTCAATACAACCAACGTGACATGCGCCGGTAGTAGTAGTTCGAGCGGAGTTGACGAAGTAACAGGTTGTTGGAAGCTAGTTTGTGTACAATAATGGTTAAAGCGTGCATCGTAAAGGGTTGTGAAAATAAGGAGAATGTACATAGTGCTGTCATTTTTCACCGAATTCCAACACACCACATACAGCGGAGAGCTTGGTTAGCTGCTTTGAACAAGAATCCCAAAACACCATTGATGACTCTGAAGAAGTGGCGTGTTTGCTCCGAACATTTCACAAAGAAGGACTATACCTGCACAGGAACACGCCTAAAGGATGAGGCTACACCAACAATATTCAGATCACTTACAGAAAGCCCGTGGTCTTTCGCCAGCTCCGGTCTGTTCTGGATCATATCTTTCTTGCCTCTCACGGTCCACAAGAGCTAATTCCTCCTCCGTGTACTCGGGTTCAAACAGATATGGCTCTGGGTCTTCTAAAAGAAGTCATAATCATCTACAAAGTCCGCCATTGCAAATGATCTGCAGTTTGCTAATAGCACAGGTAGTAAAAGTCACGTTGGTAGTATTGACGGAAATGTCAGCAGCTGGATGCTATTGGAGGGAGGGGGAGAGGAAGCGGGAGCCGGTAATCTTTTCACGAGTGAAGATATTATTGCGCCAAGTCGAAGTGCTCAAAAGCACTTGTTATGGTATTCCGCCATACAATATAGTCATCAATTTTAAACGCTTAGAAAAGCGCCACGGTTTATTTTGTGTCACCAGCCCAGGTCAAGTTACACTACTCGAGTAACTGTGTTTACATAGGGAAAACGTGGAAGTGTTTGGTCGCTTCTCTGCTTGGCCCATATTTAATGCATGGGCTAAGCTAAGTGCTAACATAGTTTTGCGGCAATACAGAGCGATATAGTGCACGCACTGAGACGAGAGAGGTATGTATCAACTCGTCTTAGTTAAGGGAATAACATAGTTTAATAAGAAAAACTGGTGGAGTATCCCTTTAAGCTCCTCAACATTTTCGGTCCTACGTTATCATTTCACTGTGATAAGCCAATATATGCCGGCCATACCTGATAGATTTCTGAGCCAAATTCCCATTACAGACCCACACAGGCATTGCTTCTACCATATAAAAACCACTCCAAACGTGCTTATCAGCGGTCAGTCGCCCACTCCCATCATAAAGCACTGCGATTGATGTAATCGAGTCAGATTTGAACCCTTTGGAATAAACTTCAAATATATTGAATTGTACATTATCAATGACAATTAAATCATTTTTTTCTATTACAGCATTCTCAATGATATATGGGAATGCAGTTCATTCAAACATAAAAAAAGTACACAATCTGACGAAGGCAATAGCCGCAACGCGTAGCTGTATCTGTCACCAATTTTAAAGATAAAAGCCATGATTCAATAAAGGCTTTTTAATTTTTGTATACACAATTCGAGTGCCTTGGAGTATTACTTTGATTTTTGAGTTAAATTATCCCAAGCAACCAAAGAGCACCGAGTCTTCACACCCTGTGCAGCACTTCAATGGCATTTTCTGCTGTGATAAAGTACACAATCTTGTCTTTGTATCTGATTTTCACATATTTTTGCTTTCAGTAAATATTTGTAATGTTGATTCATCTCAGAGCTGGTTGGTTGGGTCAAATCCCTAAAAATATAATAAATGGGAAAAACACTTCCAGGACCAAGGCTGCTGAAAAAGTGGGCCGTCACTGCTGCGCGGTATTGACATTGGCCACAAGTCTGCTGCTCGGCTTCATTCTGCCTAGTGTCAGTGAAAAAACATCTACCAACAGACAGATAATCCATTTATATATGCATATACCGTTCAAAAGTTCGGGGTCGGTAAGATTTTTGAAAGAAGTCTCTCTTTATGCTCGCCAAGGCTGTATTTTTCATCAAAAATACGGTAATATTGTGAAATAACTGTTTTGTATCGTAATATATTTAAAAAATAATAATAATTTATTCCTGTGATGTAAGGCTGAATTTTCAGCGTCATTACTCCAGTCTTCAGTGTCACATGATCCTTCAGAAATCATTCTAATATGATGATTTAATGCTCAGGAAACATTTCTTATGCTTGTGCTGCTTCATATTTTTTATGGAAACCATGGTTATTTTTTCAGGATTCTTTGATGAATAGAAAGTTCAAAAGAACACAATTAGGCCTATTTGAAATACAAATTATAGGTAACTAATGTCAATTTCGATCGATCCTTGCTGAATAAAAGTCCTAATTTCTATTAAAAATCTCAATGACCCCAATCTTTTGAATAGTAGTGTATATATATTTAAGAATGAAGCTTGAACATGTACACCTCTCCCAGCCTGGCAAGTGCAGACATGGTGTAATCATGTCCAAAAGACACGGACACACCCACACACACACACAATACACACGTTTATGCACAAACAAGACCTAGTTTACCTCTGTGAAAAGATCCCTCGCCTTCACGTATTCGTTTCCACACAGAACCAGCTGTTTTCTCCATTTGTAATGAAGGTGAACTTTTACATCCGTAAATTATGTGTTAGTGACATCTAAACTATCCCAGCAGGATCTGTTTATCTTGTAACGCAGCCACTGTTATCTCCCTTTTCTGATTAGGACAAACTGCCAACAACATGCAATAGGCTAGATGCTTCCAAGCACCCACAGCTCTGGGATCAAATGCTACAATGAAGAAAAGCATGACATATTTTGCTCATAAGAGCAATCTTTGACTTTCTCCGTCTTTGAATGTAGCTAGGTAAATCAAGAATCCTGCGTTGAAAAAAAAACACACACACATGGTTTCTCGCACCACACCGTTCTGTCAAAATCCCTCGGCGCTCTGTTCATATTGCCCTGCCCCGAGGGCGAGCTGGATCGGTTTGAATTAGCTAGTTCATAGCAACAAAAACCAACAGGGTCAGTCACACATAGCGTCTAAAGACCTCAACTGCCCACGGGCGATAATTCAAGCTGACATCCCCCCCTTTGTTGTCTTCTGGTGAAAATGAAAGCCAATTTCAAATCCCAACCTCGCGTTCACGGTGTGAAAAGAACAAAACCTGTTTTTAATGACACCGTTTTGCTCGTCACATGAGTGAGCTGGGGTGAATCTTGTTTTTTGTAATTTGTGGAAAGCCAATGCACTGCTTGGTTCTCATCCAAGATTTTCAGGAAATGTGCACTTGGGAATTTTTTCGAAAAGATAGAAAATTGACTTGAAAAATTGTAATCTTTTTTTTTTTAAATCTGTATTTAACTTTCATTACCCAACGTTCCTAATCAATCAACCTAAAAATATGACCAAAAAAAAAGAAGTATTTTCTTGTACCGTCAGATCAGGAATATCGCCCAAACAAATATGACAGAATTGTTTATTTTATACAACGGCATCACTATTTCAATGAAATCCGGAAAAACCCTATTCTTCCTAAGGCTAAGTATTGCCGTTTTTGGACTCTTCTAAAATGAGAATTTCTTTCGAAGAGAGCAAAATTAGGAAGTAAGTCAAGGCCGGAACTGGAAGCCACATTTCCACTGCACAATGTGCGGGAGGGCCATAGGAGAGAGAGAGTCATGTCCTTGCCAACCCCTTAAATTTTCCAAAGGGGATAGTGTCTGTGTGTGTTTTTTTTTTTAATCTTTCGAGCTCGGGAAGATTTATGCAGTTAACAAAGCGAGCCATCAGAGGTCCGTAGCCCCGGCTCTCGGATGAATATTGTCTTTTGCAACAGAAAGCAGAAAGCAAGCAATTGTACGTGGATGAATGGCTGAGATGAAAGATAATAGGAAAGAGGGAAAAGCGGAGCAGAGACGAGGGGAGGAGGAAAGGAAGAGGGGGAGGGGAAGCCAGAATACTGTACGACAGCCGAACGAACGCTCAAATATTGGCACAGATATCCGTACAACACTTTCACGTGTGGCCCCATGCAGAAAGGAAAGGTAAATGTTTACCTAAAGGCAAGCCTTTGTTCAGCAAATGAGAGCTTCCCATCTCTTAGGATCCGCCGGAAAAACGAGCGTCTCTCCTCAGCAAGGCATTCACCAAAATCCTCAGCATATGGCGGCTACTTCAATTTTCTTATTCCTTCTTTTCTGTGAGTAGCTAGCTTAAACACACACACGCTCCCACCCCTCCTTGTCTTTCTCTTTCTCTCCAACTCCCTCTCTCCCCCCCCCGCTCCCTCACTTTCTATTTCGACTCTCTCTCTCGGACAAACACGCATGCACACACAGAATGCAAGTGTCACTGCATTTATGGGAGTGGGAGAGTGTGTGTGTGTGAGAGAGAGAGAGAGGAACGAGTGTGAGGTGGCTACAAGAAAGACTGGAGAGGAATGGGGTGGAGCCTGGGCTCTCACAAAATTGATCTTTTGTTTCCTGAGAGGGGGCAAAAAGAAAAAAAAAGATACATGGAAAATGGTGCAAGAAACAACATGAAGGGATGGAAATTTGGGTGTGTATTTCCTATTGTTAAAAATGTTATTGTTTATGATTGTCTTTTAGAATGAATTTTTTTTTTACTAAAATCAGCATTTTTGGTCACATCCAACTGTAGATGAATACTCGTACTGTCACATTTTGCCCGTTGTTTCACTTTCATTTTCATTATGGACATTTAGGGGCTGTTTACACGACACCGTTTTCAACTAAAAACGTAACACTTTTTATGCGTTTTGGCCATTAATTTACACGACAACAGCGTTTCGGGTGCCTGAAAACGCAAAGTTTTGAAAACAGGTTTTAAAGTGCATGTTTTAGAAAACGGTCTCCGTGTAACTGTACGTTCACACCGCCGCCGGCGAGAGCGGCAAAATTCGCTCTCGCCGCCCTGGCAGCGACGCCGTGGAAAGATTCGTGGACGCTCTGATGCTCTGACGTAGATCGAATGTTTGGTCTTTTTTAAAACTTTATTTAAAGGGGCCGTAAAGCAAACAAGCATGTCGAGCGTTATTTTTGCAGAAAATAGATCGATGGAAAGAACTTAACAATTATAGTGACATGTTTGCTAACGAAATAAACCAATTAAAAGCCATTTGTGTGGTGTGGCTTTTGTGTTCATGGTTAAGTGCTATTCTAATTTGCATTCCCGCTGAAAAACAAGCGTTCTAGCGCGAAAATCTTGCCTATAAATAGTGTTGCGCGCCTTTTTATCAAATTCAAATGATAAACCTCTCCTCTATTTTGCTTGGGAACTAATGTGGTCGGAACCAAAGTTACTTGACTGCGTTCTCTGGAATCCTCTCAAACGGAGCACTTCTGCATTCCGATTGGTTGCCGCCGGTTGCCGCCGAACCGCGTCATAGCTCATTACCATAAAGTTGAGGTGATTTCAACTCTCGCCGCTCCTCGGCGCTCTCACCGTCCATGACGCGCCGCGCCGCCCTCGCCGGAGCTCGCCGCCGGCTCTCATTGAAAATGAATGACTTCCGGCCACTTTGACGCTCTCGCCGGCGGCGGTGTGAACGCACAGTAAACAACAAAACGCGAATCTCTGAAGACAATGACATCATGCATGCGTATAACGTGTTCAGTCTGAAGTGTTTCATTCGCCATCTACTGGTCTGGCAGCAGAATACAGCGGTTTTAGTCGTTTTCGCAGATCCGTGTGAATGGGGATTGTTTTGACAATGTTGTCATCTGTACGTGGAAAACTCAAAGGAAAAAACTTCTCCGTTTTAAGAATATCGTTGTCGTGTAAACGTACCCTCAGTTTACTTGTCTGTGTTCCTATGTTCCAGCCATCATTAGTTGTCATGGTTACTAAGTATACTACTAATTAGAGCACACCTGTTTTGTTTGTGGTTCATTTGCCTGTGTATTTAAGACCTTCAGTTCTCTCCACTATTTGTCTGGTGTTGTTTGTTTTCATACACACTGTTACTTTGATTCTTATGTTGTTTAATTAAGTTGCTTGACTATTTGACGTACTTCTGCTCTCATCTTCATCTTTGTGGACTACATTGTGACACATACCGAGTGAGAGTTAACTAAACGCCTCTGACAGTGATGGTTCTGGGTTATTTAACTCTCAGAAAACCAATTACTAAATCCTATAGTCCTGATGGACAGCTCAGAGACGTCGCCAAAAATAAGTACGAACGGGGTTACGAACTGCTCACACAGGACACATTCTTGCGTTAAAACCAGTGGCAGAATAGACTAAATGTAGGGTCTCGAGACACGTTTTTAAAAGTTAATTCAAAAATAGCACAAATGTGTGAGAAAAAAATTAAAATGTCGTTTTTGATAGCATATTCTACGGTGGCTGAAAGAGCTCAATGTCCTGGAACTGAAGAAAACAGAAAGAAAAACAATTAATGAAAATAGAAAAAAAACACCAGCAAATTAAGAAAACATCTTTATCACTTTGACAACACATGTGCTGCAATTACTCACCAAGCAACCAAATACAGAAATGCACTGCAAATACTCACAACTCAAGCAATTACAGAAACTGCAAATACAGAAACACACAGCAAATACTCACAACTCAACCAAATACAGAAACACACAGGAAATACTCACAACTCAACCAAATACAGAAACACGCTGCAAATACTCACAACCAAATACAGAAACACACAGCAAATACTCACAACACAACCAAATACAGAAACACGCTGCAAATACTCACAACCAAATACAGAAACACACAGCAAATACTCACAACACAACCAAATACAGAAACACACTGCAAATACTCACAACACAACCAAATACAGAAACACACAGCAAATACTCACAACTCAACCAAATACAGAAAAGCGCTGCAAATACTCACAACTCAACCAAATACAGAAACACACAGCAAATACTCACAACTCAACCAAATACAGAAACACACAGCAAATACTCACAACACAACCAAATACAGAAACACGCTGCAAATACTCACAACACAACCAAATACAGAAACACGCTGCAAATACTCACAACTTAACCAAATACAGAAACACACTGCAAATACTCACAACGCAAACAATACAGAAACACGCTGCAAATACTCACAACTCAACCAAATACATAAACATGCTGCAAATACTAACAACTCAACCGAATACATAAACACGCTGCAAATACTCACAACTTAACCAAATACAGAAACACGCTGCAAATACTCACAACTTAACCAAATACATAAACACGCTGCAAATACTAACAACTCAACCGAATACATAAACACGCTGCAAATACTCACAACTTAACCAAATACAGAAACACACTGCAAATACTCACAACGCAAACAAATACAGAAAAACCCAGCAAATACTCACAACACAACCAAATACAGAAAAGCGCTGCAAATACTCACAACTCAACCGAATACATAAACACGCTGCAAATACTAACAACTCAACCGAATACATAAACACGCTGCAAATACTAACAACTCAACCGAATACATAAACACGCTGCAAATACTCACAACTCAACCGAATACATAAACACGCTGCAAATACTAACAACTCAACCGAATACATAAACACGCTGCAAATACTAACAACTCAACCGAATACATAAACACGCTGCAAATACTAACAACTCAACCGAATACATAAACACGCTGCAAATACTAACAACTCAACCAAATACAGAAACACGCTGCAAATACTAACAACTCAACCGAATACATAAACACGCTGCAAATACTAACAACTCAACCGAATACATAAACACGCTGCAAATACTCACAACTTAACCAAATACAGAAACACACTGCAAATACTCACAACGCAAACAAATACAGAAAAACCCAGCAAATACTCACAACACAACCAAATACAGAAAAGCGCTGCAAATACTCACAACTCAACCAAATACATAAACACGCTGCAAATACTAACAACTAAACCGAATACATAAAGACGCTGCAAATACTCACAACGCAACCAAATACAGAACCACGCAGCAAATACTCACAACTCAAGCAATTACAGAAACATGCAAATACAGAAACACACTGCAAATACTCACAATGCAACCAAATACAGAAACACGCAGAAAATACTCACAACTCAACCAAATACAGAAACACGCTGCAAATACTCACAACTCAACCAAATACAGAAACACACTGCAAATACTCACAACTCAACCAAATACAGAAACATGCCACAAATGCTTACAACTCAACTAAACACAAAAAGCGCTGCAAATACTCACAAGGCACATACGACCAGGATGTTAACATAAACAAAAAACTCACCTATCAGGTCATCGACAACACCACTGATAAATAGACATTGAACAATAAACATGTCCCAGCCAGGTTTGTCACTTGTTGGGGTCCCCTGGTTTGTGCTATTTGCAGCGTGTTTCTGTATATGGTTGAGTTGTGAGTACTTGAAGCACGTGTTGTCACACTAATGAAGATGTTTTCTTAATTTGCTGGTGTTTTTTCTATTTGCATGTGTTTTCTTCAGTTGCAGCGCGAGGAGCTCTCTCGGCCACTGTACTTTTCGCCACTTTTACCATGTTTTTAAAAGTCATTCTAACCGTTTACTTAATGAGTCATTTGCTCAATGGTAGAACAGAAACTGTTAAGTGTCTACTTCGGCTGCAACATGCATAATTTGTCAGCTGATTCATTTAGATAAACTTACAATCCTCATCAAAGCTATGATCAGTTTACACTGGCCACATGATTCAGTACTATGCTAATTTGTTTGCATGTATTTTTTTTTTTATTGACACATTAAATAGATCAAAAGTGACAGTGAAGACATTTAAAATGTTACAAAATTCCTATTCCAAATAAATGTTGCTCTTTTGAACTTAATTTATCAAAGTATTCTAAAAAAAAATTCTCACAAAAAAAATATAAAGCTGCACAACTGTTTTCAACATTGATAATAATAAGAAATGTTTCTTGAGCAGCAAATCCTCATATTAAAATCATTTCTGATGGATCATGCGACACTGAAGACTGGAGAAATGATGCTGAAAACACAATATTGCTGTTTTTCCTGTATTTTTTATCAAATAAATGCAGTCTTGGTGAGCATAAGAGACTTCTTTTCCCTCCACAAAAAAAAAATGTTAATGTTAATAAAGATGCTTCTCCTTTAAGTGGAGGCCACTTCCTTTCTACTATCATGCAAAAGTTAGTGTTCATTTAGTGGCTCATGACATGAGATAAAGGATTTGATATAACAAACAAAGTTAGTAAGCAATTTTACCACCATAGTCTAATTTTTAGAAGTAACACATATAATGCTCAAGAA